CATCATGAGGAAACACAGAGTCAACCTCAACTTGCTCTGCGACCTCAACCCACAGGTTCTGATATTAAAAATATTTGTACAGCATACTATTAAAGCTATTGAATTTCAAGTAGACAAAATGTACAATTAGTGCTGCATACCTAAACCCAATTTTAGGTTCAGGTCCGGATTCAAGTCCAGAGTTTAGGTTCAGTTCCGGACTTGTAAGTCCAAACCTAAACCCACAGCATATACAAAATTGCATGTTGGCAACCTTGCAATGTTGTTTGGGCAAAACTTTGGCCACATAACATGGAGGCCAACACTTTACAATGCACGGTGGCAATGTTTTCTTCATTTTGCAGCAAATATTTTGCAATCTACGGGTTTTAGGTGGTTTGGAAAGAAAAGCGGTATGTGAAATGATCTTTTATGGTAATAAGTCCGGACTCGGTTCTTGACTTTTAGGTTTTTTTGGACTTGAACCTAAACATTATTACAAGTCCGGATTCAAGTCCAGTGAACCGGTAGGTACGCAGCCAGGACCAGAACCGGAAGTCTGCCATATCAGGCTCAGTCCCTCTGCCCTACAAGCTGCTAGATTTATTATTAACAGGGTTCTAGCTAGTGCAAAGTAGTGTAGGGGCCCCCTACGCTATAATTTTCCCCCCTACGCTACAATTTTTACCCCCTACGCTAAATTTCCCCCTATGCTAATTTCTAATACAGCATATAGGGGCACTGTGACTGTATTTCTTTGTTCAAGAATGCCAGATGAAATGTGACAAATCAAGGATACATTGTACAGACCTTAGAAATAACATTTTTTTCCCTTTGGGTATCCCTCAAATGGCCTCTTGTTAAGCTCAAATTTTTAAAAGCTCCACTTCACTCCCTCATCATGCGGCCAGTACCACTACGCTAAAATTAAATCCTAGCTAGAACCCTAGAACTATAATTATCCCGCTGATTTAAACCTTTCCAGTAGTTAGTTCCCATGGAGATTCTGGACCCCCTGTAGGCTCTCCCAGGGCCCAGGGTTTAAACTGGAAAATTGACTAATTTCTATAGCCTCTACCAGGCTTGAGGGCGCAGCTGGAAATAGTAGAAATTGGCCAAATAGTTTGCCGGCAAACTGTAACTGTAAAACTGGATGGTTAAACTCCCTCGGCGTGTTATATCTCTCTATTTGACCAATTTCTACTTTTTCCAGCCGCGCCCTCAAGCCTGGTAGAGGCTATAATTTCTACACCACTGCAGCAGTACACGCATGATGTGTACATAGATAAAATTATTTCAATCTAGATTGCCTATTGTTCTGCCTTAAGAGCCATGCTGGCTCAGAAGAGGACTAAGTAGTAAGTAGTAAGTAGATTGCATATACTGTTGTGTGATACAGGTACATGTAGTTTGTAATGTTGTATGGTTCAGTTGTTTTGCACTAGAATGTTCTGAGTTTGGATCAAAACCGTTGTGCAGCTTGTGCTTTACCAAAACTTTAAGCTACTGGAAAGGTTGCAGTCCTTAGGACGGGGCGTTAAGCTGTGGTCCACTGTTCCATGACTTCCTTCTACTCATAATTGAAAATCGCGATGGCGCCACAACCCGTAATCCTTAGTAAAAAGCACTCAGCAGGAATCAAGTAAGAAATTTTCCTTGCACAGAAGGCTGGACCTTATAACTACCTGCCATGCCGTCCTGCCTTCTCAAAATGACCAGTGGGAAAACGGCTTTCTATATGCTAAAATTGAAGCGGGATACATTTTCCTTTTCCCATCAATATGTTGATCAGTTCCACCTGCTACAGAATCTCATTTACTACATCACCCCCTGGAGTGACCTGGCAGGTTTCATTACTCCCATTCTCTGGGTTACTGGAAATGTTGTTACCTTCGCGGTGGTTTTAATTCGTGGTAGGAGATAAAAACTAAAAAAAGGAGGGTTTTGCAGGGTTTAATATTAAAGTTTGCGTTACACTTCGTAGTACAGTAGAGTTAGAAAATACAAATGAACGGTGTCAGGAATTCGCAGTAGAGAAGTTAAAGCAAAAACCACAAAATTAAAACCACCAAAAAGGTTTCTGCATTTCCAGTATATTCTCTCATATATATATACACATACCAACCTGTTTCCTTGATTCTCAGACATTCTTTAAATAATAATTTTGCAAGAAGTCAAGTCAAGAGGAAAACAGTGGGCTGATAAAATGAACTGAAATATTCAAGTTCAGAATTGTATTTCAAATCCTACAACCAAACAATGGAATTGACATAGCCATGAGGACCTTCTTATGTAATACCTGGAAGTTTCTATCTTGAAATTCTATCTGTCAAGTGAAAGACTTGCCTGATATCCACTAGAATTGCAAATGTGGCTACAAGTACCCAACATGACACTATACATCAGTAAAGTCACATGTTCCTGTTCTCAGACTGACAGGCAATTTGTGTGGGATTAACTTGTGTGAAAACAGTTTCTGTATCTGCCAAACACACAGGTTACATGTGGAAGTGTCGTAAGAAGCAGCCTGTGTTATGTAATCTCTTGCTGTCACTAGTGTCAGGGCCTGGCAAGTGGAAAGGGTGTAGGGAACATGTAGGGGGGCCCTCTTGCCCTTTTCTGTAGAGCGTAATCGGCCGTTTTAATTCTACATAGAGCAAAGATGACCGCTCTAATTCAACGTAGAGCGATATATCCTTTTGCGTAGAGCGTAATTCGCCGTTTTAATTCTACGTGGAGCGTTGTAGCCACTTGGAATTTATCGTAAAGCGTAATCGAGAGGTTTCCGAATTCAGCATTATAGCGTTGTCGGGACCCCCCATGCAGGCCCCCATGTAGATAGGTTAGGCAAGATACACAGTGGCTTACGTGTTCAGGATTTGAAATGTCTACCTCTATCATCTATTTCAGGGCATGTTCAAGAAATGCTGTGTGTTAAACAACTTATAATTTTGCTGCCTAAAACAACATTGGCTCTGCCTCTACACAATAATTGCAGCAGCAACAAGTATTTTAAGCCCTGCACATAGGAGTAACCAAATTATGAGGATCTTTTATTATACATAAATGTAGTACTAACGTCAGCACACTGGAATTTCACTAATACTAAATTACTAATAGTGATTCACAACACCACAGTCAGCCTTGGGGTTTATCAATTTATGGCCTGAAAATTTGTGGGTTTCTCTTCAGTTTTTACCTCCAATCCTTGATTTTTATTGCTAATGACATGTTTCAGGTGTTAAACACACAGAGATTACATACATTACAGGTGAGACATACAGAAGTACGTGGGCAGGGAACACACAATAGTCTCTTTGTTTACAACAGCCTAGCCTACTCTGGCTCTCTTGTATGGAACGCTCTTCCGCAGCATGTTAGAGCAGCACCTACTCTTAGAACCTTTAAAAGACTGCTAGTATCGTAACTGACTTTGAACGACTTTGGACACAACGACTTATGAGTTATTTATTAGTTATTGCCATTCTGTTTATTTATTTACTTTGTATGAGTTACCTTATGTATACAAATTATTACTTTGTTTTCATTTGTAAATAAGTAGTATTTATGTTATGACCCCCTGACACTCCTCCACGCTCGACCTCTATGAAAAGCGGCCGAAATAGCGGCCGATTAGAGCATGTAACACAGTTACAGATCGAGTTGAAATAAAGGCTCAAACAAACAAAACAAAAACAAACAAACAGAGAGCAGACATGAATGAAGAAAAGAAAATGTCATCACCTGAACCCTACTAGAACTGGTTTCTAGTGTTAGTGTCTAGACCATATGTTCTATGTTACATGTTTATTCTATGTAATTTGTTCTACATCTTGCGTCTACATTTTTTTACCTGAAAAACAGGTACTGTTTTGGACCTGAATTTGATCTACGTTAGTAAAATAAATAGTCAAAATGAGAAATGACATAACAGAAAGAAAGGAAGCCAGACTGAAAGAAAAAGAAAGAAAGAGAAGCAGAAGAGTTCTTTATGTCAGTCTCCCATTAGACCTAGAAAAAAAATGTGTTTCCTGTTTCCCGACCAACCTTACAAAAAACTGCCGACCCTAGTTTTTTTGTGTGTAAACCCATAAATTTTTCGAGCTGATCGACCTTTTTTACCTCCGTCAGTCCGTGATCTGACACATGAGTGATGAAATGTTATACAATCGGTTGTATAAAACCGATTGTATAACATTTTAATTATTTATTTTACTAACGTAGATCAAATAGTTTTACTTTGTTAAACAGTATTGTATAAGTTGGATCACTAGAGATCGCTCAAGTCTTTATAAAATAACTACTGCACCTAACTTTTTCAGGAATGAAACAGGAAACACAACATTTTTTCCTAGGCCTTACCAGCACACACCAGACTAACCCTGCCCCCTTCTATGGTATGTGCTACAGCAAGGTCCTACTGAACAACAGGACTGTGGTTACTGATACAGTACAGACACAGGACTGTCTC